TCCTAGAAAAAAAGAAAGAATGAATGAAAGAAAGAAAAAGAAAGAAAGAAAGAAGAAAGAAAAGAAAAGAAAAGCCCCTGTGGACAAAGACCAAACACTAGAAAACCTCAACCCCCAAGGTCATTTTTCTCCAAAGTTATGGGCACTTGAATACAGATGAGAAGGAAAACAGTCGCAGGGCTGTGGCAGAGCAGTGAGGAAAATACCACGCTCAGGAGCTGATGGCTGGCCAGAGGAAACCCAGGGAGGGAGGGCAGGCAGCAGCCAGGACTTCGCTCCCCAGACAAGGACAGCAGGGCTGCCCTCTCCCTGGCCATCTGGAGAGCTGAGGTTATTTCCTTCTCCCTGTGTGCTGTGGCCTATACCTCACTGTCCTCACTTACATTTACTTTGTTCCTTTCTAAACACTGAGGTGGTAAGAGAACTTGCCCCCAGGTTAAAGATGGACAATTAAAGATCCCACCAAAGCTTTCAGGCTGCTCCCTGGGCCTGAGGGTCACAACCACCATTATTCGATGCACATCCACACCAAAATGAACAACTATGAACTCCTGCTAGCCAGGAGAAAGGAGTCAGGATTCTCCTAAACCAGATAAAAACCTACTTCCCTATCAGGAAACAATTCCTAAAGCAAGAAAGGAATTTTACTCCTCAAACTTGGAGTCTCTAAAGCAATTTAAACCACCTAAATTAACATTTAGGTGGAAAAATGTTTTCAAATGTAAAAGTTTCATATTCTGCCAATATCTATCATGTTAATCTGAATCAAAATGTAAATCAAAACGAGTGCAAAAACCTGCAAAAAAAAGTGAAGCCTATTACTGGTAAACCGACCACTCCAGCTTCACCTAGCTGAACAAAGTACAAAAATAAACAGCAAAAATGATGACAAATGGAAAATACCAGATGTTTTACCATGTTTATTACCAATATTGTTACTCACCCGAGTACAACAGAGCTTATACCTGTTAGTTTTCATGGTGCCATTTCTTAAGGACAGTCCCAATAAGCTGACTTGGAGACTTCTGAAGACCAATGAAATCAGAAAAATGAACCCCATGCCAAGCCTCCAGATAGATCCTGGCCCCAAACTTGTTTCTGCCTCCTCACCCCCAAGGGATAATGGCACACTCCCATAAGGATTAGAAATGTCCTATGTAGAGGCCTTGAGTATTGAAAGCCACTGGGAGTCAGGGAGGAGGAAGGCTGATCCACAGTCCCAAGCTCATCCCAAAGAGGCACACAGACCTTGCCCATAAAGCATCTCTGTCAAGTGGACAGCCATTAAGCTATTCTGAGAGAGCACTAGGAAGGGCTGGATTCAGCTAGCAGCCCATCTTCTAGTCCTTTTCCAGTCTCTTCTAAAAGTTCATTCTCATCCCAAATCTCAATCTTGCCTGTTTCCATTTAAATTCATTTCTTTTTTTTTATCCTTATTAAAATGAAGAGCGGGGCGCCTGGGTGGCTCAGTTGGTTGGGCATCTGCCTTCGGCTCAGGTCATGATCCTGGAGTCCCTGGATCGAGTCCCACATCGGGCTCCCTGCTCGGCGGGGAGTCTGCTTCTCCCTCTGACCCTCCCCCGTCTCATGTGCTCTCTCTCATTCTCTCTCTCTCCAACAAATAAATAAAATCTTTAAAATAAAATAAAATAAAATAAAATAAAATAAAATAAAATAAAATAAAATAAAATGAAGAGCAAGTTATTAGTATACTCTTTGGAACAACTACCTCCCATATGATGAATTTATTTAGTCTGAATAAGAAATAAGTCACTAAAACCATATTCAATTTTTCTTCTTTCTTTCTAAGTCCTATTTTTGTGCCCCTAGTGATTTTTTCCCCTCTTATCCTGAGCTTTTCCAATTTCTCCACTGTCCCTGCTGACCAGAAGACCTACACAGCACAGAGGCTCTAATGACAACATGACCTATAATAACCTCAGTGGAAGGACACGATCTCCTATGTGGGACTGACAACTTCTCCAATCCATCTTCCAAAATTCCTCTGAATCCTATCAGGATCCTGCTACTTGCAAACTTTAGAGAAGTTTTTTTGTTTGTTTGTTTTTAAAGAGAGAGAGGCTTTAAGTTGCCACAAACAAGTCTCAAATCACTCCTGAGCTACCCATCCCTTTCCTGAGAATGATCCCATGGGCACTACAACAGAGCTGCCTGGCCCCCAACTCACCTTCCTACCTGTTGATCACAGCATTGTGGAGGCTTAATGAAGTACAGATGCATTACATTTATCACTTACCCCAGATCCACTCAAATCCATCACTATGTCACAGCAAGAAGTTAGATTGATCTGACAGGATTTGCTCTTCCTCGCAAACCCATGTAAGTTATTACTCAGTAGTACCCTATGCTCTTCTAGCTGTTTGCTGATTGATTATCTGACGATCAGGTCAAGTATCTTCTCTGGAATCACAGTAAACTAACGGGTCTATAACTTCCAAGATCATTCGTATTCCCCTTTTAAAGATAAGCAAGACAGCGAATGCTTTTTCCTGAGTTCTCTAAAGCAACAGCTAATGCTTTCTAATAATGAACCAGGGCAGCCAATTCTTTAAGTGCCCTTGGAATCACATCATCAGGGTTCATTGATTCTGGAGATAATCTTTAATCAGGCCCAGATCCTGGTAAACGGCATGAAGTCCTACCTCAGCCTAGGTCAGGAAGGCCTTGGTGCCCAAGTCTGGGTGGGAAGTTGGTGATACAAGTGATTTAAATCTGTATTGCGGGGCACCTGGGTGGCTCAGATGGTTAAGCGTCTGCCTTTGGCTCAGGTCATGATCCCAGGGGCCTGGGATCGAGTCCCGCATCGGGTTCCCTGCTCAGCGGGGATCCTGTTTCCCCCTCTGCCTGCCACTCTCCCTGCTTGTGCTCTCTCACTCTAATAAATAAATAAAATCTTAAAAAAAAAAAAAAAAAAACTGTATTGCATTATATCTTTAGCATTGCAATAAATAAATAAATAAAAAGAACAATGCCCTTGAAAGAGAGATGGAAGGTGATACTGACAGACCAAATTGAGACATGAACCAGGCTTCACCTTCAGCAACATTGACAGGACCCTCTGTAGGACAAGAGAACAGAGCTACATAATTATCTGAGCTTACAATCTAACTGAAAAGTTCAGAAAAAAACATACGTAGGCATGTGCCAGAAAGCAGAATGTAGAAAATGCCATAAAGGAGGTGCCAAGTGATTATGAGAGTTCAGAAGAGGGATGAATCATATGCAATCGGAATGTGTTGGATTTTAGACTCATGTCCCATTAGGGCTTACTCAGTAATTGAAATCTACATCAGTAAGGGAAATAATATGGTGTGTTAAGATACGGATCCTTGATTCCTAACCTGGGAGAATCTATGTAACCAAAATTCCCACCCACCACCCAGGAACAGCCAGCACAGAATCTCCAATAGTTCTGGGAGGCAGAGAAGACTCTACAGCATGGGCAGGAGCAAGAGGCTGAGAAAGTAAGGGCAGCTCAGGCAGCAGCCAAGCTATATTCCCTTTTATGCGAAGTTCCTTCCCTCAGGACATTCTCCTCATCTTGCTCCTGTCTTCCCGAACTTCCACAGGGCTAATTCCAATGCTCCCAAGGACAGTCCCCTACTTGAAGGGAGAACAGGAAAAAGGGAAGAAGGGGGAAGGTAAAAGGGTGGTGGTATCTGCTTTATGGAAAATAATCTACTATTCTAAAGATAGAATCTCTTCATGGGAAAAAAAAACCAACCAAGAGAAATGAACTCAGTTTATGTTTGAATGGACCCCACGCCTCCCTGTCTCCCAAGCGCCTGATGCTACCATCCCCCTTTCCCCATCCTCCCTACCATTGAAAGCTGCTCCCAAACTAACATGTCTACACATCCCAAAATTACACCCCTAATAACCCAGGCCCACAGGGAAGAGTTACAGTCCTAGAGCCGGGCATACTCAAGGCCCCCACAGTACAATGAACTGCCACATCAGCCCCCAATCGTTCCCCCCAAACCAACCTCAAGCACGCCAATATCTCCAAGAACATGTGCCTCTCTGCTGCTAATCCAAACCTCCTAGTAGCGCTACCTTAAAGGGTAAAAGGTCTCCGCACACAGTTGATGACTAAGGAAAAAAGGCAAGCAAAGAAATTTTCCTTTCCAACGGACCAACAGTTGTACTTCTTCAGGTTCTCTAATGCATCCCCAAACTTAATGGCTCCAAACATCAATAATCACTTCTTATCTCTCACAGTTTCTGCCAGCCAGGAATTCAGGAGCGGCTCAGCAGACCAGCCTGGCTCAGGGTCTCTCCGGAGGTTGAAGTCAGATGTCCATTGGGGCTGGCAGATTCCCTTCCAAGACAGCACCAAGAAGCATGAATGGCAAGTGGTACTGGTTTTTAGCGAAGAACCTCAGTTCCTGTATACACGTGCCTCTCCACAGGCCATTTGAGAGTCCTCAATGCACGGCAGCTGGCTTTCTCCAGAGCAAGTGATCCAAAAGAGCAGGGCGAACCACAGCGCTTTTTATGACTTAGCCTCAGAAATCACACCATGGCTTTTCCTCTATGTTCTACTGGTTATACAAGGCTAGCCCTGATTCAGTGTGGGAGAGAAACTACCAAGGGTAGGAATCCCAGGAGGCAAGGATCATTGGGTGCCATCTTAGAGGCTGACTATCACAGTATTCCTTAAAATAACATGCGGTAATAGTAGGAGAAGGAAGGCGGGAAGGGAAAGGAGAGAGGAAGGATGGGACAGAAGGAAATATTTTGATTCCCAAAGGCTGAGACCAGAGAGAAACAATATGCCCAGTTGTCTCCAGAGACTTCTCAGGTCTACCTTACCCTACCATGCCTGAACCAAGTCCAGCTTCCTAGGCAGGGACTCCCGATGAGCAACTAAAAGCCAGGAAGACATGAGAAAGTTCCCCTGGAACCCAGAAAGCAAGACTAACCTCCCTCCCTCCTTGCCCACCCCACCTTTTCTGAAGCAATGATGCAACAGTTACCTGAGGATGAATCTGTGGCTTGTCGCACGTGGCCTCAAAGTCCAGCACTAAAAAGTAGTGATACCTCTGGGGAGGGAAGGGCACCATTGCCGCCATGGATGCGCCAAAGCCGTGGGCCGCCAGTTTTCTGGTGGATATGGAGCAGAACTCCGGAACACCACAGGGAGAAAATAAGTGGGAGCCCAGCACTTTTCTTGCTCTTGAAAGTAAATATGAAGAAAATCGAGCTGCTCCAGTCTGTAAAGGTGCTAGCATTGAACATCCAGAAGCATCTAAAACTTAGGGGAGGAAAGTTTAAAAAAAAAAAAAGAAAAAAAAAAAAAAAAAAAGAACAAAGAGCCTGGGTTACTCCCCTCCCACGGTGGCCCTGTTCCATCTGGTCTTCAGGAATAGTCACACAACACGAACCACTCCCCAGTGTTTCTGGACCCCTTTTCTAAATCAACAGTATTCATTCCTGAAGTTCAAGACCTTAATGCTGGCCCCTGCAGCATTACGACAGCTCTGAGTCTCCAAGATCATCCTCAGAACAACCTGCCACACTGGCCTTCATCTTTAAATGGAGCTCTGAAGTTCAAAAGAGAGGAGAGAGAAAAATTCTGTGGTCATTTCTCGGGTGGCAAGAGTTAATGTAAAGCTAAGGTTCCTAAAGTAACATGAGGTGACCCAGCTGTACAATCAGTCCTGGGAGCTAAGGAGCTTCAGACAAAACAGTGGAAAATGCCAGAGTCTCTCCTCAGCTCCATTACAAGCCATTTGCCCCTGGCTTTCCAGTCGGTATCGCACACCTCCACGTAGCCTCCGTGCCATCTCCCAATGTGAAATGGAACGCAGCCAACCACAGGGGAGCTTGCTCCTGCAGGGCCAGTGATTCCCCAGCCTCCGTGCCAGTAAGTGGCACCCTGGGGGAATTAATGACGCCCGGAGAGCACAGCTGGTAACAGCCTCAGGCCTTCCTGTTCGCTGCCTTTAGGCTCACTCTCTACTAGAGGCCCTGAAGGACTGCGGGACTTTTTTTAAATAGGGAAGAAAAAGAGAAAACCCAGATGTGGCAGTAATGGGAGCATTGCTTAAAAAAAAAAAAAAAAGGTCTAGTAAAGTTTTCTGAGTGAACATGTGGAAAAAAAAAAAATCCAAATCACTTTTCAAGTTTTCCCTTTAAATTTGTAGAATGTCTGCTCCTTAGAGGGTTAACTAAATATAAAAATCAAAGCCTAAGTTTTACTCACAAATAACCCAGGCCTCCTTAAAAAAAAAAAAAAAGGAACAAAGAAAGTTTGTTTTTACCCTTCTTACACCCAATATTCAAGTTCCCTCAACTTTAATCCTCAAAGTCAAATGAGAAATCTCACTGCTCAATGCAGATATGGCCATAGTTTATGCCTTCTGAAGCCCCATTCTAATAGAGCCAAAAACTTGCCTCTGAAAGGCTGCCAATGGACACTGGCTCCTTCCTGCAGGGCTGAGGGGGGTAGCAGCCTGTGAAGTCCAGAGCGCACTCAGAAGCAATGAGGTGACTACTACCTGAATGGACATGTACAATCAAGTATCACTTTTCCTTCTGGCTCTTCCCTGACTCACTGAATGACCTACAATAACTTGCCTGCATATTTACTAGGACACATGTGGGTCCTCAATTTCCCCAACCCCGTAGTAAGATTCCATGGGGATTCAGAGGTGCTAAGACTGAAAAGTATTTTAAGTTCTTCATGGATCCTACAGAGCACGGTGCTTGCTTTCACCATGGCTTTACAGCATTTCCAAAAACGCAGCCCAAACTCCTCAGCTCAGGATAGACAAAGGCTGGCTTGGATTTCACTATGGAATCCCTTGGAAAGGCAAAGGGGCCAACATCCCTTCGAACACCAGAATCCAAAATAACTTCACATCACCACCCCTGCCTTGAACAGTACTGGAAGCCTTGCTGAGACTGGAGACACCAGTCTGTTCAGATTATGCATTATAGTTTGGATCCAAAGTCTCTCAGGGCCTTAGGACTCTCCTCTAACTCCTTGAAGTCAGGCTGGGATAAGGACTTTTGAGAATCCTAATGTTTGTCCATATTCATAGAGAGTGTATATAGTATATATAGTCAACCAGACTCCATCTGCCAAATACTACTGGCAATTTAGCATCATGATTAAGGAGGCCTTCCAGGTTTGCATCCTGGCTGAGCCACTTATTTGCCATGGCACCTTGGGCAAGCTCTGTTCTTCCATCCCTCACCTGTAAAATGACAACAATAATAGCTCTTATTCTGTAAGTGAGAATGAAATGAGAAGGTACATGTAAAGCACTATGAGCAGTGTCTGGCATATAGGGGCTCAATATCGCTTACTAGTATTACTACTATTCTTTTGGGCTACGCCCACCTGGCCAAGCCTGGACCCCCATACTTGGAGCCTATATATCCAATTAATGCATGCATAAGGCAACCCTCAGAAGTAACATCCAAATCTCCTGCATGCCCAGAATGCTCTAGGCCTCCCATGTAGCATACTATATGTGCGCTATCCCCTTCCATGAATGACACACTGATGACCTGAAGCCCTCTTGCCTGCAGGCCTTGCTTTTCCAACTGATTTCACCCACATCAACAAGCTTCTCTTGCAGGAAGTCTTGAGAATAGACAATGATAGGAGACCAGTCTTCCACATGTCAGTAATCACTGGATTCCATACTTCCTTTACTTCTAAAACCCAAGTTCAACTCAAGTCAAGAAACAGAGGGCAGCTCTTCCTCTTCCCTTCCTGAAAAATTCAATCTTATGGCTTTAGTCATTAGTTGTGGCAGAGGAAGGTAGTATCTGCAAGTTGAAGTGGGGGGGAGCAGAAGAGTCTGAGGGTGGGGGTGGAGGGTATCAGAACCCAAGCACAGTAAGGAAGGCATCTGTACAGAGGCAAGAAGGTGTGATGTAGCATGTCAGAACCCACGTGGGGTGTGGAGGGCATGGGGAGGCGGGGAGCAAGCCTGATGCAGGGAGTCATGGGCAGGGTAAAAGAGGCACTCAAGAGGGGGAAGGAGCAGTGGTAACAAATGGGAGATTGGTTACATACAGAGGGATTGATCAAAGAAGGGCGTATATTAAGGGTAATGAGAACCAGGTTTCTCATTGTTACAGGATGGAATTAAAATATGGAAAGAGGAAAAAAAAATCCATGGTGTCAAACTGAAATTGGAGGAAACAGTGTGAACTCATGGTTTCTGATATATAATATATAAAAATAAGCTAGACGTGAGTATGGACACACACACACACACACACAATCTATTTTCTAGCTGTCTATTGAAGGGCCAGGGAGCAGCAACACTCTAGCAGCAATGAGCACACCTAACACCCAGTTACCTTCTAAATAACAGTCTTTAGTGGAAAAACCAGAGCTCTTTGGAGAAATGGTTGATTCCACAACTATGGCAGGGAAAGTACAAGATGAGTCTAGAACATCTTGTTTAGGGGCCAGAAAGCAAGGAAATGCTCAAAGAATGATGGGAATTAATCAAAAGGATGCAGAAGCCAGTTTGAAGGGGCTCCCACTGGCAATAAATAATGATATTAATAGATTATATTGCATTGAATAAAAAAAGGAAACCATGAATCTAAAATACACTAATTAACTAATTAATAAATTAAAGTTTGGTAAGGGATATTCACGTAGTTTTGAACTATCTCCCCACAGAATGCTTATTAATCGTTAATAGGAAGTAAATATACAATGGAGAAGCCTGGCAGACATCACCTTAATCAAGTGATCAAAATGAACACAATGGGATAAATCAAAATCATGCACCACATGATAGGATGCAATGAGAAGAAAGCATCATTTCTGTGATATTCCTGTCAAAGATGCATAATCTAACTCTAATCATGAGAAAATATCCAACAAACCCTAACTGAGGGAGAGCCTACATAATAACCAGCCTGTAATCTTCAAAAGTATCAAGGTCATGAATGTCAAGGAACTTTTACTGAGCAAAATCTAAAGGAGATCAAAGGGACTTGATAACTAAATGCAATGCACATTCTGAACTAGATCATTTTGCTACAAAAAAACATTACTGGGACAATAGGCAAACCTGAATGGGGTTTCAGAATTAGAAGGAGGTAAGGTACCAATATTAATTTCCTGGTTTTGCTGGTTGTACTATGGTTAGGTAAGAAAATGTCCTTGCATGTAGGAAATATACCCAAAGCATTCAGGGTGATGGGGACATTAGGTCAGCATTAGCTCTCAAACAGTTCCACAAAAAATTCTTTGTACTATTAATTCCAACTTGTATGTAAATTTGGCCTATTCCAAACTTTTTAAAAATTATTTTTTTAGGGGCATCTGGGTGGCTCAGTCAGTTAAGCGTCTGCCTTTGGCTCGGGTCATGATCCCAGGGTCCTGGGATCGAGCCCCACATTGGGCTCCCTGCTCAGCGGGGAGCCTGCTTCTCCCTCTCCCACTCCCCCTGCTTGTGTTCCCTCTCTCACTGTCTCTCTCTGTCAAATAAATAAATAAAATCTTTTTTAAAAATTATTTTTTAATCTATATGCTGCAATGTGGTTTAAAAAAGGCGGGGAGGGAAGGAGAGAGAGAGAAGAAGAGAGATGGTATGTGAGGGCTCAATCTCTCCATACCGCCCACGGAAGATAGGCTGTGCATACAGCCTACAGCCGACCTTAAGAGGCAAAGCCAGCCCTTAAAGCATCAAGTCTCCATGATAAGAGCCCCCACTCAATGCCCGCTCACGCTCACGGAGCACTCCTGCCACCATTAGAGCCTTCTCAGGAAAGAGCCCTGCACTCCCTGCAGAGGCATCCCACTTGCCTTGCACCCTCTGGCCTCTTGGGGATTCCCCTTTCCTAATGCTGCTTTATACTTTAGTCACAAGTTTGTAGACTCTAAGTCTATAACTTGTATCATCAATTGGGACTTCGAGTATCTAGTCAAGGGGCAGAACTCAAAAGGAACAGTTTATGATTCTATGTACTTCTGCATACTGTGTTTCATCAGAGACAAGACTTATACACATTTATTCTCAGGCACCCTTTTTCTTCTCCTGGCAATTAAAGGTAGTAAGTAGCCTATGGCAAGGAGGAAAATAAATGATTCCCTCCTCAAAATGAAAGGTCCAGCCCCCAGTGGAGACAGCGGAGTGGTAAATAGGGACCGTCATGGGGCCAGCCCCATTTGGAGAAACAGGCCTGCGCCACAGCCCCCGGAGGATGGTCTCTGTGCAGAGTATTTACACAACAGACACCAACGGTCCTCTGCAGCCATTACCATCGGTCAGG